AAAGTTTATACAAACGATGGGCCATTTTTTAGCAGAAAAGCAGAATGTCCAAGTTCTGTGTTTTTTGAAGGAATTAATATTTTTTGTAAAATAGAAAATGATAACTAAAGAAATATTAATATATCCAGCCAATGCAATGGTTGATAGAGCAGCAAAAGAGCCTCTTAGCCTTCCAGGCCATGGTAAAGCGTTCTTAATTGCGTCCGAACTGGCGCAACCACTAAAAACAGGCCATATACCAAAATTGACAGACAGTGTGGAACAACAGCCCTCCAAATAAACTGAAGATCATGAAGAGTTAAGTAAAACCATGGAGTAGTTACAGTCGCAGTAGAAAGCGCAGAGAGGAAGTCGTCCTAACTCGACTGAGAATAGGACTCACAGGCTTAAGCATCTTCGCTTAATCACTAAAGAAAACCAACCGGTTTGTCGAAGGTGTGGAGAGAATGACAGTAGCCCATATATTTGAGAGTTACACCTTTTACACCAGAAAGTGGAATGGAAAAGGGATACCAGCAAGTAAATCGACTGCTTTATAAAATAAGGAAGAAGTCTTGATTAAAGTCATAACTTTTCTTTCCGAAGACGGAACTTTTAAAAATATCTGAAACCTTACTCTCCTTTTTGATTTATTATTTTCAATAATGAAACATTGTGATCGACCAAAAAATTCTAAAACTTTGAGGTTTCACGTTTCAAGACGCGTAGAATTCGAAAAACGAATAACAATTTTTTTGTCCTTCCGCCGTCCGCGAATGAACAACATGAAATAAAATCTTTGCAACAATTTATTCATTATTGGCGTAGCAGACGCTTGTAGGGATTCTTGGCCTGTTCAATTTCCTTTGCCCTGTCATCCCCGTTGGCTGGGCACCTGATGGATGAGCTATATTCCCTAGACCCGATTCCTTCTGGTTTGTCATGATAAAGCATTTTCGCTGTCCTCGCTACATCCATTCTCAGGACATGTCCTAACCATTTCATTCGCTGAACTCGAGCGAATTGGGAGATAGACAGATCGCCGCACATTGAGTATACCTACTTGTTTTTCTCAAGCGGGGAACTTCTTGCTCCAGTTTAGGTCCTATTATCCGCCCTAGGATGTTCCATTCAAACCGATCTATTCGCCCTGCAGATGCCTTCGTTAGAGTCCATGTCTCCTATGCATATGTTAACTGGCCGAATAATCGTTTTGTGTATCCCAAGTGCAACCACGAATCAACAATCTATTTTTCAGAAGGCTAGCTAGAGAAAAGTACGCTCTGTTGGCAACCATTATTCTAGCTCATATGTTCTCTAAGATAGGCTCTCATGTTATTTAAGATAGGTATATGCCTTAGATGTGACGGCAACTTTTCCCTTAAAATCGGCTAACCGGAAGTGCCACTTTATTTCAACGCTGAAACACATTTTTAAAATTTTCTCGAAAACGGCTCTAATGATTTTGATTGTACTCGGAGTATCTTTATATAATTAAGAGGTCTTTAATATCAATCAGGTCTTATCCCCATTGATGTCACTTTACAGGGCTTAAATGCCCAATGTTCATATATGTCTTCCTCTAAAGTACCTTTAATATGGTTTATTTAAATAAAAAATAATCATCAGAAGTTATTCAAAGTTACGAAAAAAGATTAAACATAAATTTTGAAAGAATTTGATAATTGAATAAAGGAGAAAAAAGGAAATACCAGTCAGAAAGTATACATATAATATATCGTTGGAAAGCGAAGAATTTTAGAAAAAAACATATCTAATATATAAAGTTGTAGAAGGTAAGGGAGAGTTGCGAAATAGTCATAAATAATAATGTCAGAAAACTAACATTATTTAACGTAAATCACATGTTTGCAAGAAAATTAAATGAAATTTTCGTGCTATAAATGAACTTTTCAATGTTTTTCTGAGATTTCAAAAAATGTATTTAAAATCCACCGAACCAAGCCAGTGCTATTGTTCAAAATATTATTTTATTTAACTTGCATGAAAGAAGAAGTGAAATATAAAAATATTCCATGGATATATTTATAACCTCAAATATATTTACTATAGGGTATTAACTCTATATAAGATATTATATTTAAATAATTAGGTATTTATCGGACGTTTATTACAAAAAATCATCAAGTAATCTTTTAGAAAATTAAATTACTGAATAATTTCATGAATTTTCCCTTTGTGAAATCCCAACATTATCCACTTACAATTAGTGTGACAACTTTTGACCTATCCATGGCAAGGCAATGAAAATCTTGTAATTTTGTTGTAAACTTTATAATGGAAAATAACATTTTAATAGTTCTATCCATAATCGTTTATAGGTTAAACATTCAGATATACTTTCAAACCACTGTAGGCATATATGAACCTTTCGGTTGACAGAATGACTAACTCCAAGTTCAACATTATTTATTATTAATTTTAGTGATATTTCTAGTGCCAAAATGTATACCTTAATTCACAGTTTTATATTTCAACACTGTAATCACCTACTCCTGAATCAACTTACTCAGTTTCTGTATAGATAACTTTTTCAACTAGAAATACCAATAAAATTACATTACTAAAAATTGCTGAAATTGGAGGTAAGTCATTCTGTCAACTGAAAGGCTCAGAGACTGAAGTATGGTTTATAAAAGTAGATGGACTGACTAGATTTTTATTGCCTACCGTCGATATAATAAATGGACTTTTGTGTAATTTTAATGGATTTAATGATTTGTTTTCTTTAAGCTTTAAGATTTAGTTCCGTTTAAAATGCATTTCAAATTATTATTATTTTATAATAGCTCAGCATTGCCAGAAAATAATTTCTATTACAAGTAGACCAGTAAGTGAAAGTTGTGTGTTGCGCTCACCAGATTTTTATAATATAGATAGAGTGAAAACAACGAAGACAATACCAAGACAAAGAAGTCAAGTTTTTATCATCATTTATATATTATTGTATTGATATAACTAATAATAAATGAATTTTTTTTTTTTTGTCTTCAATTTTTCATCTGCACCTGTCATGGTAGTGACAATCAGCAGATTGGTGGTCATGTAGAAAATGGCATGATAGGCATGACGAAGAATGGAACCCAGCAGCATCTCTTCCCTGGTCTGTTGATGAAATGAAATAAATAATCGTTTTGTGATGTATAATCGGCAGTCATGGACACAATATCTTAATCGAACAGGTGTAATTTCCCCCATTCTATTACTTAGTGGGTGGTCAGGACAAACCCCATCCATCCAACTGACCACATCACATCACTTCAGCTATCACAGGGTCACTTTATCTCCTTCGTGGTAATGGTTTGTGTCCATGAAGCCACGCATCAGCGCTGTCTCATAGAACAACTTCGGCTTTCTCTTTCTTATTCCTTCAGCTGAGACTGTATTTCCAAAGGAATCGAAACACCTTATAATATATATACTGGTAAGTATATTACTAAAAATAAAGTATAATATAATATAAAAAGGAAAAAAATATATAATTAAAACATTTTATTTTCCTTGGTCGCAATCATAATTCATTAGCTCAACTGAAATTTGAAATAATTTTACAAGGACTTATCGATCACGTCTAGGTTCCATTAATCCCCGCTGTTACCCCCAGACACGGTAAAACCCCGTATAGCATTAAAGGTGAGGAAGGGGAGGACCCCCCAGAAAACATTGTTTTATAGTTTGAGTGTCTTTGCCTATCAGGGCTAGATCATCCGGATAGCCAAGCACGGGTGTTGTCCTACTCATATCCAACCCTTTTTCGGTACGCATTACCTCCCTAATGGCTTGTTCTAATGAAAAATTGAACAGGACAGGCGAAAGGGAATCAAGCTGTTTAAACCCGAACGAATCTCAAACTTTTCGAATAAATTATTAACGATTCTTATTGAGCGTTTCCGTAAAGCACATCCTGACTAGATTCACTAATTTTTTGGGGATCCCCTACTCAATTAGAATATTATATAGTTTCTGGCGGTCAATAGAATCGTAAGCCTTTTTGAAATCAATATAAAGCTGGTTAACAACACCTCTGTACTCTAATTTTTTCTCCAATATTTGCCGCAAGGAAAATATTTGATCAATAGTCGAACGGTTCCGTCTAAATCGCCATTGGTAGTCACCGATAATTTCCGCGGCGTATTCCGTGATTCGACTAGTTAAGATTAAAGTGAATATTTTATAACATACCGGAAGGAGTGAAATTCCTCGATAGTTATTACAATCCGTCCTCTTGCCCTTTTTATGAATCGGAATAAGAATAGATTCTTTCCATGCTTCAGGTAATTTCTCATTCTCACAGATCTGTTTAACCAACAAATGTTTTAAACTATTAATAAAAATACAAATATTAACGGTGTGCACTCCTCTGTGTTCTACGAATATTTTCAGTTTTGAATAAATTAATTCGCGTTACATTATTTTTACTTCGCTTTTAGTATCAAACGCGACAAGCGCTCTGAAAAAAAAGAAAGATATCCAGTTAGTGACGAATCTTGTAGAATATATATTTCAACACTTAATGCTTATTCCCTACTATTTTATTTAGAAAGGCAAAGAGTTTTTGGCCTTCCAATATTTCCGATGTATAATTGGAACTAATGATTCTAAAATAAATTTAAATAAGTTTAATAAATTTAATAAGTTTTATTTTTAAGTATGGTAAATATCTGTTTCAATTATTATAAATTTTTGGGTTTAGAAATTAGATTAGATTTTGATTTTATATATGGATATAGAATAACAATTTAAATAAAAATAAATCATGATTAGGAGAAACCCTATATTAGAGGACTTTCGAATTGTCCTTCTTACGGTTAAAGGTTTCTAGAAAGCGCATCCCACTGTGGAAATAACTTAAAAATTGACACTTTTTTTTGAGTAACGACGTTGTATATTTTGAAGGATATGGAGAATTAATTTTGGAGAATGGACATGCTATGAATATAATAAGAAATGAGATCGGGAGATGAGTGTTGGGGCGCCACGAAGGCGGCAAGCGATAAATAATGTTGTGGAAAGTGTGGGTGGTGAAACTGGAGCGCTCTGCCACGCCTCTCTTCCGGTTCATCACTCCTCGCTCCTCGTCCCTCGCTCCTCACTCCTCGCTCCTCATTCCTCTTTCAATCTCTTGCCTTATCGCTATCATCTTTCGTATTTTTAAAAACTGGTTTGATTAAATGTTATAATTATAGTTTATTCTTGTCATTAACGAGACCTTTATTTAAAATTTAAAGTATAAAAAGGCTATAACGCTACTTCAGTACATTGCACACACGATTAGACAAAAAAAAAAAAGATACTAAGTGTAATGTATTTGGATAATAAAAAACAAAACTATAATATTAGAAATAACAACTCTTTTATTCATCATAAAATATAACACTGTTAGGTTAATACCACCAAATCACTTAATGGTATTATCGATATACCACAATTTCCCCCTTTCTAAAGAAAGTCTATCACATTTAGAAAAATAGCACCACATTAAAAACGTGAAAAAAGTTATCAAAAATACATATAATTCTGGTATAAAACTAACGATCTTTAAGGATTGTAAGAAATATTTACCATTTTTCGAATAAAAATTTGTAAATTAACTTATGCTTCTCAAGCTACTGTTAATTGACATAATCTAAATTAATTAATTACTATTTTATAATACACTGCAGCCTCACTTGTGCTTATCCGATGAAATATTTAAGACCAACATAATTTTACTCTTATAACATCACATACAGAACTTTAATGAATCCTTTAGTTGTTTTCTTCATTAATATAACAATATTCTCAATATGTATTGTTGAATTTATGTCTTTCTAATAGTTCAAAAGATTTGGGATTTAAGTGCTGGGAGATTAAAGAAACAATTTCTTTAAATGACAGTTCCTTTGGGTTTTTTGTTAATGCTAAATTTCTAATAACAATGTAGTTTTCTGCACTCACCTCTATAAACAATTCTGCTACATACTTTCTTCAATACCATGTGCAATGAAATAAAGTTTTAGCCTTTCAATAAAAGTGTCCCAGTCATCCTCATGTAAACGAAATTCAATTTTACAGGTCTCCATCCTGTAGCTTGCTCCTTTATTCTTTGTTTTAACTTGGGTTAACTTTTCACTAATTTCCTTGCTTTATTCTTTATTTTCACTTCGCGATTCCTGCAGTAAAATTTGCCTTAACCTATCTACAGAATCAGCCTCATCGAAAACCAAACCTAATTCTTTTAGTTTTAAAATTAAGTCTTGTTTCTTTAATTCATACAGCCAGGAAGTTCATTTCTTCATTACTTTTATCTTCGTCACCCAATGTTAGGTATTTGAATATTAAAAAACAAAACTATCATATTAGTAATAACAACTCTTTTATTCATCATAAAAGATAACACTGTTAGGTTACTACCACTAAATCACTTATTGGTATTATAGAAAATTATACTAATTTTCTAATCAAATTTATACTAATTTCCAAGCTAATCAATTTTAGCAATTTTATCGCTAAATCAGTGGCCAATTATAAAAAAAATTAAATTCTTATAAATTTATTATCAATAATTAAATTGACCATAAATTTATACTCAGATCGGAGCAGTATTTTAATAAAATACTCGGTATTTTATTGTTCAGAATAAGATTTACTCATTTCTGGTAGTACACCGTTAACCTAAAAGAGTGCGGCGAAGGCTATTTAAAGTGAAATTTCTTTTAAAATTAAATCTAGCGATTACATAATCAGTAAATGTACTATCAGTACTTGATATTGATAACATTTATTGAAATAATTCGAATATATATTTTATATATAATTATACATTATTTTAATTGCGATATTCATAACAGTAATAATTGAAACTTTTAAAAACGTTTTAAGGTTTAATGTCTGAAAATAAAATCTTACAACCACAATATCAACAAAATTCCACCTACAAATTTAGTGAAAAATCTAACCTAAAAATAGACAATTAACTAAGAGAGCAACTTCTGAAAAGTAAGAAGTTTAACGAATAACGGTCAAAATATTAACTATTTTCCGTGTTAAATCAACCTGGAACCTTCCGTCACTCTGAGCGACTTCTACCAAGTTAATATCCTTAATGAGGTTAATACACCTTCTATTTATATTAAAAAAAGAGACAGAGTTGAAATATTTGCCGTATAAAGCGTTAAAGTTATTAATGAAATTAGTGGCTCATATCCAAAGTGATGTCTAATGGATTTTTTTTTTTGGAAACTAGACATAAGTATCGATTTTAATATATATCCAATGAATCCGATAGTGCATAGTTTTTTTTTTTTTTTTTCGAAATGCGAACCTAAACATATAAAAAAGTATTGTGAAAATAAGTTACGCAACCGCCTATTTTAAAAAGAAATTTAATGAAACCTGTATTTTACTGGTTTCTTTAAAAAAGAAATTCTTCAAAAATAAATTAATTTGTACCATTATTATAAAAAAAAAAAAAAAAAAATATTTTATACGGAAATTTGTATAACTCCCCTTAAATACATAACGTTTTTTTTTTTTCCAACTCAAACTGAACTATTTGGGTTAGAACTATTTTTTTTTCAAAAACAGACATTGAATTTTAATTCTATAAAAAAGCGATACTATTCGAGTTTCAATGTTTCCACATTTTTATTAAAATAAATAGGGATCATCTGAAAAAAGTTCTACAAATACAGAATATCTAAATTTATGTATTAAAAAATATTGGTTTTGATTCTACTTTTGGAATTGAAAATATATTTTTTTTTTGTTTCCTGAAAAACGTTTCATAGATTATTTTTTTTGGTAACTTACTATATAATATTTTATTTAGAAAAAATACATTTTGCCTCAATTAAGGGCAATGAGTATTTAGGATGAATGAAATACAAACATACCATATATACAATAAAAGAAAGACAAGATTATAACAATCGTCGTTAAGCTCTTGTCTTTTAAGTCTGGTATGTGGGTTCCCATAGATTATTAGGATTCACTTTGAAAATAAATGGCTGAAATAGTAACTCGCATTACACGAACTAGCGGATTCAGGATTTAATTTTGGGGGAGAGGGCTTCAGCCCTAAAGCTTTTTTTTTCATAAAAATAATGATAATTACTTTAGGGAAAAAGAAAGACACTATCCACTTATATGAAATGGTGTTTAAGTGATTCCTAAAGTCCTTTTAAATGTAATTACACGAACAATAATATTTTAAGAGATTTTTTTTTTTTGTTCTCCCTACCTCGCCTTTTAGGCTATACGGGATTTTCCCGGGCCGGGGAGTGAGGGCGGCGAATTTAAAATCCTCTCCGGCACCGGGACGCGAACTCGTACTTTTAATATCATCTCAAATCTCTGTTATCCGGTTGCCAGGCAACTAACGGTGTTGTGCACACGCTTTAGCCTATTCGGCCACCCCGCCCCCTATAATATTTTAAGAGATAATTTTTTAATATTTGTTTACATAAAACATGGTTATATTTTACTATTTTAGAAGGGGGCTGCAGCCCCAAAGCCTCTTCCCCCCCCCCCAGTTGATCCGCCCGTGCATGAACTGTAAATATACGATAACGGACTTGATGCGTTTTTGAAATATATAATATTATTGGAAACAGCCATGTAAAGAGCCGGAGGGTTACGTTTTAAATAAATCTGTATTTGCATGAAGTTGGCGTGCTCGGACTATTTGAATGATTTACGGGAGTTGTCGTTAGTAGTCGGCCGAGCCCTCGGTCGGATGGGGCCACCTCAAACATCACCCACACGCTCCTCAAACAATGGTCCATCGCCGATAAATGTAACTTATGCCCTCGGCCATTGTGTCCCCGTGTCCCACTTTTCCTCCTCACTCTAAGGGCCGGCCCTCCGTGTACCGTTTATCACCTGCTTGTCCCTTCTCCTCTTGGGATTAGCCTTCTTAAGGAGTATTGTACCTTCCGAGGTCAAGGTTTGGACCTCTCCTCTCCGCCTCTTCCTTATTATCTCTCGGCCACCTTTGTTTTGTCCGTTCCTTGCCTCATCAGCTTTCTGTTCTCTGAACAATGTTCTTTCATAGCACTGGATTAATTAATATTGACCTATTAAAATCTTTTAAGGTGTGAAGGAAGAATGAATCGTTAGGGCGTGGAGTTGTTGAATCACCGAAGGGAAAGGGGTGGGGCGGAAAGTGACAAGCAACTATTAAATAAAGGAAAACACAGCTATATATTTTTTGCTTTTCAAGATAATTTGGTATTTTTAGATTATAACCTCCACACTTCCAAACAATTTATATATGTTGACGGTTCGGATTCATTCTTCCATTTCATTTTTATAAAAATATTTATTGAAATTCACATTAACTAAAAATACAACAAGAAAATATCAATTAGTTTAATGACATGGGGAGACTTGTAGAAAAACTACTCATTGGTTGGAATGGTCTCCAATAGTATTGTAGTTCCGTATTAAAAGATCGCGAGGATATATTCTTTTCAGAAGCCTAGGAGTATTGTCAAGACTCGAAAGGATGCAATGTTAGAAATTAGTAAGCTAGGATGGATAGTCTGAAGTTTATTATGAAAGGAATGGATTCTTAGGGTCATATTCATCGTCCTGTACTTATTGAAATGGAATCAAAATATTTATTTGTTGAATATCCCAAGGCATAACCCTGTCAAGAAGTCTTAATATAATATTACATTATAATAAAATTATATAATATATAATATAGTATAAATTGATGCCGTGGAGAAGGAGGATTGGGGGATTTGCTTGCTCCCAATCCTTCGAATCGGAAGAAACACCTTTAATTCTCATTTCGTTTACACTTTCATTCACTTCATGTACACTTTTCTCTTGATGCAAATGCTTGTTAAATATCTTTTAAACTTCAATTTCGATTGTTTGGTTGTGAATAGTCAACTTTTCCTCTCCAACTAAATTTTCCCGTTTCTTCTCTACTTTATAATTGCGTATCATAAAACATGTAAATTATTATTGAAAGTTTGGAAAATTCACCAAATTTCGAAAAGCTGATGTTCGAAACCTATTAGGTTTGCCGAGCCTATTGTGGTCTCAGATCACTTGTAAATTAAATCTAGTGCAATAATGCATAGAATGTTTTTTTTTTTTTTTTTTTTTTTTGTCGAACACCTGCTTCTTCATAGTAAAAATAGGAAAACAAAAAGGAAAAATGTCTGAAAATGCAGCAGCTTTAGGATATTGAAAAGTGGTCCGAGGGAACACCAACGTTATATTGATAACCTTGTAAGGACGAATGTTTAGAAGCTTAATATTAACTTCGTACAATGTTGCGTTAGGTATATCTTGATTTAAATCTGATATGATGTTCCTATCAATGGTCTTTATCATAGTAATGTTTACTAGAATGCGTTAATAAATGCAATATGCTCTTAAATAAATAAATTCAATGGTTATAATTAAATGTACTATTGATAAAACAGGTAACCAAAAATAATTTGATTATAACAAATAATTATATAAATAAATAATAATTATGATTTTATTTTACTTACTAGAATCAGCTGATGCGAAGGTTGTCTCCTCAACTCCTTTCTCAGTTTTTGCCAATTTTATAGCGGAATCTCTCTGATTATTCACCTAATACAGTTAAAGTGTATATCAGAGCAGTTTATATTTACTGTTGACATCTTTTTTTTTTTTTTGTTATTTTAAGAAAAATTACAAAAAGTTTTAAAATATAAATATTTAAAAACAAAAATATTTAAAATTTTTTTTTTTTTCTCTTATGATATGCGATATGATCAGCAAATGATGGCCAGTAAGGTGCCCAAGAGGTCTCGGTTAGACGGAGTTAGCTCACCAGCCAAACAAAGGACTCGTCGCTGCCTACGAAAAATACTTCCATTGACCAAAATGAACACTTCAGAACCAGAACCTCAGCCCCAACCAGGTACGTCTGCACAAGAAACGATTGAAGAATCGCCCTTCTTTACTCCAAACCCCTACCAAGAGCTTCAAAATGACCGAGAAGTAATAGAGTCTGCAGCAATATCCAGAGAACCAAAGCCTCCTCCGATATTTGTGAAAAATATAAAACATTTCCAGATGTTCTGCACCCAACTAAATAAAATCTGCTCTGGCAGTTATTCATGCCTTAACAGGACCAATGACACCAAAATAACACCTGATTCTGCAGAAGCCTACCGAAAAATAGCGAAGTACTTATCAGAAAAAAATGCGAATTCTCACACTTACCAGCTGAGGCAGGAAAGAGCTTTACGGGTAGTGATAAGAAATTTACACTCCTCAACCCCCACTGAAGTTATTAAAGAAGAAGTAACGACGCATGGTTTCAATGTACGCCAGGTAACAAACGTTTTGAAGGAGGACAGGGAGCAGCCAGGATTACGAAATAGGATCCCACTACCATTGTTTTTCGTGGTAACATTCGCTGACGACACCGCAATCTTATCATCCAACGCTGATCCCGAAACAGCATCCTTAAATTCCAAAGCCACCTCACCTTGATTGAGCACTGGTGTAATAACTGGCGCATTAAAGTTAATGACTCTAAATGCCAAAATATTACCTTTACACTCCGACTCAATTCCTGTCCACCAGTACTCTTTAATTCCATCCAGCTTCCTTACTCAGACACAGTCCGGTATCTTGGCTTTCATTTAGACCGAAGACTAACTTGGAACCCGCATACTAGACTCAAAAGACAAGAACTCAACCGACGATACGGCCAACTATACCGACTACTAAGCAGAAAATCTAAACTTTCCATTGAAAACAAGCTACTGATCTACAAGACAATACTGAAACCTATTTGGACTTATGGACTAGAACTGTGGTGATCAGCAAAATTTTCTAACATCAAGCGCATCCAATCCTTCCAGTCTAAAGTCCTTCGAACAATAGTCGATGCTCCTTTCTATGTGACCAACAAAACCCTACATCATGACATCAACATCCCATTTGTCCTAGACCTTATCCCAGAAAAATTCTCCCAATTTCACCAGAACCTTACTTACCACCCAAATCGTCTTGCACAATCCCTATCAAGCACCTCCCATCCCTATAATCCTCCAAGAAGGTTGAAATGGCATTTGTAGATTGTATAAATTGGAGTTCTGGCAATGGCCAGATTCTTCACTCAAGACATGAGTGTATGTGGCTAAAGTGCTCTCGGCCAATCTCTGCTGGCTTTAGTACCAGTGACGCGGTTGGGAGAGTAGTGCAGGGTTCTCCTGGAGTTTCCTCGCCTGATTGTATATAGGTATGCATGTGTTTTTTTTTTCTTAGTTTTAATTTTCTTATTTTTTAGGTTATTTTATTTTGTTGTCTATTGTATATACTTTTGATTATTATTTTGTTCTATTTATTTTATTTGTTTGTACATATAGTGTGAATGTCCTCCGACCTCACTATAACCAATTTCCAACAGACAAATTGTCATAATACTCAATAAAGAAATTTAAAAAAAAAATTTTACTTAGTTATGTTTATTTTTTTTTCTTGGGTCCATTCAATGGACTGGATTCAATTAAAGAATTATATTTAACCATTCTATCAATACATCGACCACTAAATATGAATGCATACCTGTAAAACATATATTTGTTATAAATTATTTTACCACCTTAAACGCTATTAGTTTTTAATGGCACAATAGCTTACATTGAAACTATTATTAAACGTTTGAAGAGTAGAATAGCTCAGTGAGTAAGGTTCTGTGATCCTATTCTCCAGGTCGCGGATTTAGATTGTTATTCATCCTGTTACACCAGCTGTGGAACGACACTGTGCTCGGACTGTGCTTTTAAATATTAATTAATTAAGAAGGGAACTTGTAGGTTAAGCCTGACCACGCTCAAACCATTTTCATGCAAGACCGTTGACCAAAAAATAATACTTCATAACAAAGTAATGGACTAAAAACACTCAATGGATAGTAGAGGCATAGGTCAAGTCATTAAAGGTATATCATTTCATTAAGAACGACTCTCTCTAAATGCTCTCTTGTAAGGACAAATATTTAGAGGCTTAATATTAACTTTGTACAATATTGCGTTAGGGGTATCTTGATTTAAATCTGAAATGATGTTCCTATCAAAAGTCTTAATAATAGTAATGATTATTAGAATGACCTACTTTTACTCATTCCAAACAACTTCAAAAGCTTTAACTGACGTTGCATTAATTTTTGAGTTAGATAAGTTGAAATGCCTATAAAGAATGTTATGTCTTAAAAATATTCGTTACCCCTAATCAATTAACTAACGAAGTTCAATTAAAAATGAATGTTATCTATACCAAATAACTTAAAAAAATCAAATTAGTTATTTTTGTGATTTTTTAAAGAGAAATCCAACAGTGACTGGTACCACTGAAGTCGATAATCTGAGGACGATATGGAGGCGGAGATGGGGTAGGGATCTTGAGGAGGGTAGGGAGGAAACGGAAGAGGGGAGTAACGGGTTTTGCCAGTCGGATTTTAGAAGAAGCTGCGTGAAGGGAGGCTCGGATACATTACTGAAGAAAGTTGTATAATAGATAATATATAAGAAATAAAAAGACTTTATGAAATGAACTTTTTCATCTGCAGAAAAATTCAACCATGTCAAGAAGGTCAGAAATGTGCCAATCGAGAAAGATGTGCCAATAGCAACCAATGTAAATTACATATTTACTTTTATTTATGACCAAAATACTTGTGAACACAGGTAATAATAAATAACACTGCATTATTTTAGTTTAATAACATAAGTTTGAAGGGTGTAGTGCAGCCTCGAGGCTCATCCTAGCCAAAAGATTTATTTTGTAATTTCTAAATGTAAAATAAAACAAACTATACATAATATTACGTATGTTATATAATAACTATTTAATATATTTACATAATATGTTTATTTCATACTTTATAAAATGATTCTGTAAACTTAAGATTTGAGATAGACAGTACGAGATAAGGAATTTTATTTTGAAGAAGGAGGCTTGTTTTTTAACTAATATTATTTTGCAACTTTATTCTATTCTTTATCATTCTCCTTGGTGCATGAAGGTTTTTTTTATTTGTTTAAATTCATAATTGACATACCTAAGTTTCTGATCCAGAAGTTCTGCATACCCACTTTTCTCATCTGGATTCTACAGCTTTGCAATGTCGATCTTCTTGTACGTTTTGGGCATTTTCTTTCTAAGTCGTACAATCTGGGTATCTCCAATACTTTACCGATGTAAAAGTAATGAGATGTGCTAAAATTGGTTCGGGCCGTCTTCTGTTGATTGGAGGCAATGTAATTACTTATTTAAAATTAAAATAAACTATATAATATAATTTTTAAGCGGTCCTTGAAGGTCTGGTCAAAAATAAAAGTAATAACTGGAACAAAATGCTTTTAGGAATTTTTCTTGGCACGTACTTAAAATTAGTAGCTATGAACGGGTTTTAAAAAGTTAAATAAATTTTAAAAAGTACATGTTATGATTGTTTAAGTATAAAGCTATTTTTTTTTCTATCTCTTTCGACGGGCTTATACGGGCTCCGAAGTCCTCTTAGCACCTGGATTCGAACTTGTTATCTTCAGTTTATCAGGTTGACCTTTATTTTTAGTCCATTCCCTCCTCCAAATCAAGCTTCATGTCAACGAGGCACTCTTCCTCAGGTCAGCCACAGAAACATTTATGGAACAATTAAAAAATATTTACATTTTCAGTATGTTTTTTGGGTTGAGGAGGGGGAGTTCAGAAAGACCCCCCCCCTTCGCCCCGTGGATCTGTGGATCCATCCACCAGTGTACAAAGAACCGGGAAATTATCCCTGTAAACCTTGGCTTGTATTGTATTACTTCTTTCATGTATTATCTAGTATTAACGTTATACATGACTTTATGGTTGTGGAGCTGTAGGTAGTCTGCCGCTGCTCCATTAAAGCAGTGATACATAGCAAATTGGTATTGTCTTACTCCCTCTGTGCTATCTTTACTCCAGCCTGATGGGAGTATTATGTAAGAAGACATCATCACACATTCCCTTACATATTCATGGTCTGTAGCATCCAACGAAAAAAAAATATACATATATATATCAAGTGAAAACCCTGTAATATTAGTTGCGTACCACAGGAACTTTGTTATTAATCCTGTTGTCTAAGGGTTTCAGAAAGTATTTAAGGCCTGAGATATAGATATTTCAGAGCCGCTCCTGAAATTCACGTGTGGGTTTTTCGAATAAAACAGGTTCAAAATTCTTTTTGTGAAATATCAATGGGCGCCGGCGCCGATGACATAAACAAGGCCAGGAGTGACAGCTGAGTGAGCGCTCGTTCCCGAAGGATATCCTAATCTCAAAATCCCATTTGACTCGTCTCCTCTTGAGCTTAAGTAACTGAGCCCATCTCGCGCACCTCATCCATATTTTTGATATTTTATTTCTCATCTTAAGAGCATATTTACGATTCTCACTCGAAAAAGATTTTTTTTTTCGAGTTTCGGTGGAAGGAACGGATATAATTATTCTTAAGAGGCTCATAAAGGAATCCCTCATCATAAATTCCGTGGATCTGGGGCTCAGGTAGTAAAATTCAATCCGCAATATCTAGTTTAAACTCTTAGCAATATATTTTGTTTCTTCCTAAATTGATATATTAGTGCCATTAATTTTAGTTCTTTACATCACGTCTCTCTGTAAATAGTGATTTATTTATTTTCGTTTCTGTCAGCATTTAAACGGTTTGAGAGTATAATCATAATTTTCTGATACTAAATAACAATCTACCATTATATTTTTTCACATCACTGAGCTAATGTCTGAAATTCGATCGAAATATCTTTTATTTATATTTCTTCATTCTCAAAGCCTGACCATAAAAAGTACAAATGGGTCCACAATTATATCTATCCCTATCTTGTCCTTAATATATATTTTTATACAACAATAACAAATCATTGGAAATATGTTTTTAAAATTTTAATATAAAATATTTCAAGAAGACTTCGGATACTTGACATTTACCAGTGGTCTCTCTGTTTTTCAAACTTGGTATTTTGAAGGAGAAAGTCGGGGTACAGTATAAATATCTGAACTTTAAACCGATGTCAAATACATTATTAGTAAACAGTGAATCATAAGCACAATACTAAATTTATTACTAATATAAGATTTATTGTGAAAAACATATCTTCCATTAGGTGACAACTAAGTAAATTTAAAATTCATACAAATTCGTCAAAGAACCTTTATCATTTATTGTCAATATTATTTTTCCTACAGTTTAAATTAATGTTTCGCTTATCTCTTTGCAACAAATCGTCACAAAGAGGTTTACTTGGACGACAGTTTATCTTGAAATACTCGTTCGAGACTAAAAAAAAAAATCTGGTGCGCACAACACACAACTTCCACTTACCGCTCTACTTGAATATAAATTATTTTCTGACAATGTTGAGCTGTTATAAAATTTTTGAATTGCATTTTTAACCGAGCTAAAGCTTAAAGCTTACAGTTAAAAAATCATTAATACCATTAAAATAACAAAAATACTATTTATTATTTCGACGATTGATTATGGATAGTACGATCCGTTGATTATGGATTGTACGACTATTAATTATTAAACTGTTTTTCCATTGCAAAGTTTACTGAAATGGAATGATAATATTTGCATTGCATGTCATAGATAGGTCGAAAGTTGTCACACTAATTGTTAGTGGACAATGTTGGGATATCATAAAAATTCATCAAATTATTCACTAATTTAATTTTCTAAAAGGTTCCTTGATAATTTTTTGGAATAAACGGCCGATAGATACCTAATTATTTAAATATAATATCTCATCTAGAGTTAATACTCTATAGTAAGTATATTTGAGGTTATAAACATATCCATGAAATGTTTTTATATTTCACTTCTTCTTTCACATAAGTACTATGAAATAGTATTTTAAACAATATCATTGGCTTGATTAGGTGGATTTTAATGTGTACAGAAACAGCTTGCAATTTTTATGAGAATTCAGTTTTTAAATAGAAGTTCTTTTTCACTTGCCATTCTATGAAGAAGACTGGATCCATCAACATAGGAGAGATGTAAGATTCAAAGAACAGGCTAAAACACCATCTAAGACTGCCTTATATTTAAAGATATACGAAAAAAAAATTGTATTTGGCACAAAGCCTAGAAGAAAACTTGATCGACAATGAAAAAGTAAAAAAAAACCTTGGAATTTTTAAAAATGATAAAACTCTATAACAGAATGTAAGTAAAAGGTGTTGCCAATGAACCTAAAGGATACAGGCAACAAAAAAAACAAAACAAATAAATCAATAGTTCTATTTGTTTTCAATTTTATTGTAGCATTGTTAACGAAATTGAATATAAAAAAATGTAGAATTGCATTTTATTTTAAAATCAGACGAATTTATAAATGTCAATAATATTTATCAAATTATTAAATATTTTATATTTAACTCTAGTTTTTAAACATGTAACAAGTCCAACTATCAGGAGCTAAGTTGTTCACTTTTATAGTTATTTAAATAAAGGTGAATGTTATTTTTTCGTGAGTAGTTTCCAAAATCTTTCGGCTCAGGATTAATTTGATAATGAATTGACTAATGGTACAAATAGAAAAATAGAATACTAAAAATATCGACCATTGTCTCCTAATATATCAAGCCCGTAGTAATGTGCCAGGAAGTCTGAATTGATGATTAGCATAACAGGCACAAAAGAGCTACCGTTTATGATTTTTTTTTTTGTGTTTGTCCTCTAAGGCATTTTTCTTCTACCGAAGGTTTCGCTATAATACGAACATATACATATTCAAACTTGTATATTTCAAAACGGAACAGGGTCCCAAGTCATTAACTAACTTGAATAACGAATCGGCAGGAACAGCTATTGATTTCGAACAGTTACACAACCATTTGCGGATAATACAACGTCTGGACAAGAAGGAAAAAAAAATCTCTGTGATTCAACGAACCTGATAATTTAATGTCTTGTTTAGCTATGTACATATTAACAAAGAAACAGCAATAAATTAAAGAAGGAGTGTGCTTTAGGATGTTTATTGTTGGAAATAATTCATCTCCGTATTACATATCTGTATTGCAGGTCGCATATATTTTATTTCACCTACATAAAATTGGAATATTTTTATATTCTTTAATAAAAAAAAAAATCTTTATTAAATCTTTTTTTTTTTAAAGAAATTAATGAAAGCGGATTATTCATTTCAACTTTGATTTTTATTAAAGAACTTTTTTTCACACCTGTTCCTTAGGTTGCGGCTATCCCGAGTTTTTCGGGGCCCAGAGAAAAGGGTGAATGATTTATGTCAGATTTAAAAGCTCCCCTGGCCCCGGGAGGCGAGCTCATAATTATTTTATCATGTAAATATCCGTTTTTCTTACTGTCGAGCAACTTGTGTTTTGCACACGCGTTAGCCCGCTCTGCCACCTCACCCATTTTATCAGAGAGCCAGAAATCAACCAAGACTTTGATTTTGTACAAGATTTATTCGCGAATGGTTTGGAATTAAGAGTGT